CCCTCCGTGCCGCCCTTTTCTTTTCCAGCCGCCCTGACGCGTTGGTTCCTCGCTGGCAGAGGCGAGCTCCTGTCCCTGGCGAGGGCAGCGTGTGACAAGGGCGCAGGTGGGGACGCTTTGCTCGCAGCCGGTTCCTCTCCTGCGCGTTCGCAGCGCTCCTGGGCGTAGAATCATAGAATCATCGAATCGTTTAGGTTGGAAAAGACCTTTAAGATCATCCAGTCCAACCATTAACCTACCAAGTCCACCACTAAACCAGTTAAGGGTAGAGAAGCAACCCCACGCCTCCCGGCTTGGCTGGATCGCTTGCCCTGACCCGACGTGCGAAGCGCAGCCGGCTGCATGGGGCGCTTGGCCTAAGCAAGCACAGAACGGGTCCAAACATTGCGTTTGGAGGGATGCAATATGTTGAGTCGCACGCTCCTCTTGCTGCCGAGCCGTACCCTTCCCCGTAATCCAGCCTGCTGAATTTGTCCCTTGGTAAATGACTCATGGCGTGACCGAGGAAGGAAAAATGGGGAGATTCGGAAGGTGCGTCAAAGTGCAGGGCGAGAGTTTGTCCTTTCGACGCTCCGTGAGCGTGACTCATCCCAAGGAAGTGCCAGTCTGGAGGTGAGTTAAGCCTCCAAAGTTTTCCCGACATTTGCATGGTTTGATTCAGCCAGATCGGGTCCCGCCGTGATGCGATTAGCTCCATGCGGGCATAAAGACTTGCCTCGTCGTGAGGTTAACCTATGCCGTAACTATTCAAAAACAAATGCATTCAGGGCGTTTGACCCCATGTTTTAAAGCTTTGAAGACCTGATTTCTTTTTCACCTCTTGCTGGTGACCACAATGACTATCTCGAAACTGAAGTCTTGGCATTCGCTAATTGTCTGGAGCTGGGAGTAAGGTTTTAGAAATTCTGAGTATCACGAGACTTGTTGTAGAGGACGTAAGGCTGGCAAATTTTGGAAATGCTTTCTTTGAAAAACCATTTTAATAGCTTTTAGGTGGCACCTCACTTAACATTTTTTCTTTGTTCCCATTTAAAGGATCCCATGCCATCTTCCCCGACCTCCACATATGGATTCTGGGGAGCCCTTTTCCTCTAGCCGTGCAGGATTTGCTGGTCTGTTGAACCTCTCCCCTTATCCTGGCTCTCCTTTGGGAAAAGCAGATCCTTACTTCAAAAATAAGCACCATATCAACAGTATGACCATTTAATGAAGAACAACCCTGCTGATGAATAAAAAAAAAAATGACACCTTCCAGACTAGTAGCAAGAAACTACAGTAAACTCTGTGCCAAGCTGCTATCACACCCCAGGTTTAGGTAAGTGCAGTTGCCTCCAAATATTCAATCCTTGATTTGGTTTCCATGAAGGGGTATCCTTGCACTCAGACATCTGCTAACTAAACCAAGCTGCTCCTACAAAATTACATCAATTGTTCTTATTCTACTGAAATATGTGGCTGTTCATATTTTGTGAGGATGGGGTTAATTTCTAATGCAGGGACAGATGACATGCCTACATAGAAGCATTCACTGATGTTAAGCATTTCACAACCATGAGGCCCTTTTTGGAAAATATTTTAATTCAAGGACTCCATGAGTAAATCTCATTCCAAAGGGTTAAGGAAAAGGAAAGGTTGGTATGTACTGGGACATAAGCAGCAAAAGAACACATCCTGAAATTCAGCTGAATGTAGCTAATAAATTGGGACTAATACATTTTAGGAGAAGCAATAAAACATGTTCTGAAACACTCAAGATGCCCCAGAAACAGTCTGTATATATAAAAACTATAAACAGTGAGAGGTAAATTCAGCAGTACATTTTCCCATAGGGCTTGAATTATTATCCCATATGAACAGTCTGGTAACAGCTACACCTAATTCCAGAATTGATGCTACTTGCCTGAAAAATTCCTAAGACTATTTTTACATGTATTTAGTTACTTAGGTGAATATGTGCTTTGGAGATAATGCGCTAAAGTTTTGCTTCTCTGAAAGCACCACACATTGTACTATAGAGGCAATGTATGTCCGTAGTAGTAGTTCTTTATTCAGGGGAAAAAAAGGAGCTTACTTATCTGTTGAATTCTTCATTAACTAACGTGGTTTCTAATGTGATAGCACAAGACCATCACTGAGTTCTACTTAAGCTGATTTTCTTTCTTTTAAGTGTTGTGCTGTGCTTAAGATATTATTCATTTATAAACCACTTAAAGCCATGTGCAAGTTGTACAAATAACAGCCTTAAGGTGGCTTAAAATCCAGGCTCTTCCAAAGTGAATGTAAAACACTCATGTTTTTCAAGAAGGGTGAGAGACCACCCGCTGACCAAATGTCCCTTTGAAGTTGGCAGTCCTCTCTGCCTAATTCAGGTTCAGTTCATGAAGTACAATTTTCACTCTTTAGAACAATTCTCTCCCATTTAATAATGAAACTAACTACTCAGTACTGGAGATAAATATTTATTACAATGTAATTATATTTGGCTTTGCCTCTTTTTGCAAATCATTAATTTTTTTTTTTCAAGCATTCCTATGCTTAAATGAGATACCTCTGTATGTGGGGAACTTTTATATGCGCTAACACCAGCCTAGGTATTTTATAATACACACGCATAAGAATAAAAATTGTTTATTAAAATAGTTATAAGGTCATACAGCTCACTCTTCACTATAAATATTAGTTCTCTTACAGATAAAACATCAAGTATGTTTATGTAGGGGTGGATTTTTTTTTTTTTCATTTTTATTTTTTAACACAAGTATTTTCCTCCCATTTTTGAACATCCGTTTTTTACTCATCCACATGATCTTGAAAGTATTCATCCACAAGAGCAGATTTATCTTCTTCACATTCCTGCCAAAAAGAAAACAAAAAAGGTAAAACCTGACTTTTTCCTAGTGGCTACTGTACATTGTCTGTTCTGTGACATTTTATTTTAGAAACCACCACAGGAACAATGTCTAATGTGGTTCCATAAAACACACAGCAAAGCTTTCTGAAAAGCAATTTGTTTCTACAGCTATCAAAACTGTATAGGTCAAAATCTAGATCCAGGTATTCTGCATACTTAAAGAGTACAAAACTGAATTAAAAAATGGAATAAAAACACTGGACTTGTTCCTTAGGATTTATGAGCCGAATAATAAAACTAGACAGGGCTTGGATTTCAACACAGCAGTCTTCTATCATGTATTTTATATGATAGAATTTACTCCTAATCTGTATCTCATATAGAACACATGGGTTCAACACAGGAATTATCAGAGGAGTTTGGACAGTCACGTAGGAAGAAATTGTAGTGGTCCTTTCTGACCTTTGAAGTTTAAAATTCCATTATTTTTGAAAACCAAGGCATTACTTTTAAACACAACCATTTGATCAGTCTGCATATGCAAGATGATACTAGAGAATTTCAGTTTTGTAATTGTAAATGAAGACTATATAAGTATTGTCACTAAAAGACTAAACATGGCTTATTTCAAATCATATTAAGACAGTAATTTTTTAGCAAGGCAAAGAACGTATTTATATTACAACTTATATTATGGATCCTTTTTAATTTTTCACCTTATCATCAGAAATACCTTACCTTTGGTTCCTTAAATTCAAGATCTTCTCCATACTGAATGGTAAAGTCTATGTGCTGCAGAACTATGTTTATACTTTCCTCATCAGAGCGATCAAAAGGTAGAAATCGAACCATACCATAGTCATCAATCTAGAGGAAGGATTCAAAGGATGTTAATAATAAAACACAGTTAGTTAGTTCTCAGTCACAGCACTCTAAGCCACTTCCTTAAACCACACTTAACGTCTTCCTTGTCTGGACTCCTAAAATACTGTTTAAAGCCACACTCAGAACACCTGCCTGTCAGTCCTAGGTTCTACACAGTAGAAAAAGCTGTTTTCCAAAATTGCTAATAGAACAGGATTCACACAAAATGTATTGGCTACAATCCAAATGTTAGTATCAAGAATCTTATGCTAATCTGAAAAAAAATCAAAAACCGAGTTAAAACAGACAAAAAGCAAAATGCTTAAGTGCCTGAGAATCTTTGAGAGCCTGGATTTGTTAACAAGTGTGGTAGGTAAATACATAGTTTTCAGGCGAGGCAGGGGAGAGTTATTATATATAGTACATACAATGTCTGTAACAGCACTTAAGTCAGCAACCATACAGTATGGTTTATAAATCCAGGACTAAACTTAAGGGTACCAGTTAAAAAGCAATATACCTACCAATCCACATATAGATTTAGTCAATTTTTTAAACATTTTGCTTTTCAATATATTTGTAGAATCTTCAATCATAGAATACATATCTGGATCTAAGTACCTGGGAGAAACAAAGTCATCATTAACATCGAAAGAATCCTTGGCCACAGAGCAAATGAGTCATTGAGCTTTTATAGAGCTACCAAAACCATCTATCATTCTGTGATCTGAATGAACTAACTTCATATCAGGAGAACTTAAAATGTTTAAAAATAGTTTTGGTAAGTATTTGAGTATCTCAGATTACAATTGCTAGTAGAAACAACTGAAGTGTTTTTCATTTTCTTTTTGCTGATATACTTGTATACTCAAGAAAGCTTTGAGGAAGACCATAGGGAAAAACTTTAATTTTGTAATTTTAGCCCAAATGTAAACGTAACACATAAGTAGTTCAGTATCAGATAGGATCACCTCTGGTTTGGGTTTTGAAGTACAGTACCCTGGTGGGCACAGCACCCTGGAACGTTATTCAGAATGACGTTAAGTTATTCAAGATAATTATTTACAGAAAAATCCAGAGATATGTACAAACATGGAGCTAGGCTTTTGACTCCAACTAAACTGTAAGCATCCTATCCAGACATTTAAAGACTATGTTTTATATCAAACAAATGCATCTTCTCCCATTCGAAAAGAGTATGTTTTAATTGTGGGAAACATTAAGACTGAATTCTGAGTGAAGTTTACCTCAAGATATTACACTACAGAATGAGTAATTTTTTGGAACTTACTTTTCTATTTCCTTCTTGGCTTTCTTGCTCAGCAAATCCATTTTGGTCATGATGTTAATCTGTGGAATCTCTAAAGATATCATTGCACTGAGTGCTGCCAGAATTCCAGAGATAAACTTCAGGAATATGAAAAATGGTGTAGTTAAGTACAGAAAAACACAATACAAACACGCAGGACACTCCACCACAGACCAAATCTAGTAAATATACGAAACATGGACACGAGGCCAACTGGGCAGTCCTTATCTCTGTTGGAAAAGGGAGGTGCGGAGCTTCCCATCTGCTATCTTATCTCCAGAGCCTCAAATCTGCATCTGCCGCTGAAAAGGCCATTACAGAACTCAAAGCCCATCTCAGGATTCTTACTGCTAGATGGGGAAAGTGGCCTGCTCTCTCTCCAAATCTGAGAAAGCTCTCATAGAATCACGGAAGAATTTAGGTTGGAAGGGACTTTCAGAGGTTATCTGGTTCATACAACTGCTCAAACCAGAGCCAGCTTCAAAGTCAGATCAGGTTGCTCAGGGATTTTGCCCAGTCAACTTTTGAGTAACTCCGTGAACATATGCTACACAATCTCTCTGTGACCCTGTTCCAGTCTGACCACTCTCACAGTGCAGGTTTTCTTTAAATCCAACTGGCATTTTATTTGCTGCAACCTGTGCCTGAGGCAGCTGAAGACAGCAATCAGATCTCCCCTGGCTTAGCATTCTTTCCTCTGGGCTAAACAAACCCAGCTCCCTAAACTGCTCGGATTTCTTATTCTTTATCAATATGAACTTTTACAACAGATTTCAAATGGATACCTTAAAAGATTCCACCATGAACTGAGAATCCACAAGAAAAACTCCACAGACACGGAATTCCCACTGCTGAAGCTGCTCCACCAGCTGTTTCATCACTGGCAAATGTGTATAGAGTTCGATCTGACCTAGGGCACACTCAGGATTTTAGTATGCAGAAACGTGAAGCTAACAGGAGCAGTTATCAGTTATATAAATATGGGCATTGCACTTGATATGAAGAAAAGCTGATAGAGCATCATCCTTCTTTCCAGGCAACTCTGTATTAGAATGAACTTGTAATGGAGAAGTAGAAAAGAAATAGCCAGGGGTTTTCCTCCCTTGACCTCCAATTAGCGTTAGTTAGCAGTTGCCGCGGCGTTCCCACACCGTATGATGCTACTAAAAGCCAGCGCAGTCACCCAGATTAGCCTGGGAGCAAATTCACTTCTGAAACATCTGAAAGGGACTCTGACAACTGTTAATAATACAAAAAAACCAACCAAACAAAAAAAAACAAACAAAAAAACCCAACCAAACAAAAAAACCCAAAAGAAAACCCGTGTGAATGATTACGACCAACAGGAAAGAAAGTACTACAAATTTTACATTGCGTATGAAGAACGATACCAAAAGAGAGACATTTGTTTACCTGGGCAATCAAACAATATATAGTCATCCTCCACATGCCCCAGGCTTTCCTCTAGCCAGTTAAAGTTATTGGCAAAATATTCCATGCAAAACACCA